CAGAAGCGTCGGCAGTTCGAAGAGGTTGCAACCACAGCAAAAAAGGCCCCAAGCGAATATTCACTTACGTGAAGCAGCGACTGATACCAGCAGTTGACGTAGCGGTATTAGAAACTTCGGACTTCCAGCACTTGTTAGGAGAACCTCCTACGGAATGGATTGTTGAACACTACACAAACGAAATTCCAACCGTTTTTCAGAAAGCAAGTTGAATAATCGTATTGTTTGATCAACAAAATGTTTTCGGGCATTTTAATACTAATATTGACTATTAAAGAAGAGGAGAGAACAGAAAATGTCCGAGGTGGAGCCTGTGTCAAGTAATTACCTCGCGTCTGGCAGCCATTAAACCGGTGCCCGTAACCTTCACTTCTTGATCGGTCAATCAGAGCGGGCATAGCCTTTAGGAGAGGAATCAGGGCGGTACGGCGCGACCTTGGTGACCATAAGAGCGCTGAACATTCGTCCGCGTTGGTGACGCATTTCGCTTCTGTATTTGCAGGTGGGCATGCCTCCATAACAAACTCGGTGTGTGTAGCCCCGACTGAACTAGAGCTAAGATTGCGAGGTGGAAGATGTCCGAAATCTACTTGCCATTTTTGACGGCAAGAAGCCTGCTGATCCCGAGGGGCTCCACCGGCTGATTCGTAAACCGTTGTCGACCATCATCTCATTCGTGGCTGGTCTGCTTAACAGTTCGCTGTCCGAAGATGCACTGCGGAGCAACTGCAAATGCTCGATAGTGAAGCCCATTCCGAAAGGCGGTGACACGAGTAAGATTGACACTTACCGTCTTTTTGGCTGACCTCCGTTTTGTCCAAGGCACTCGATAATATCGTATAAATAATCTAGTGCAGCTGCTGGAATCAAAAACCTGACATCCGCACAGCACTGTTTCATGAAGGTCCGCTCCTGTAACACCAAACTATGGTTAACGTGACATGAATGGCCGTAAGCGCTAAACCGTGGGAAGTCAGTGGATGTTATTCACATTGATTCCAGTTCGAAAGGGTGAACAATGGGGCTCCTCAACAAGTTGAGGGTGTGCGGTGTTGGTGGCTCACTGCATCACTGTATCAGTAACTTCCTTTTTTGGCAACAATGGAGGGTACATGTGAATGATCATTTAACGGACTGGTACTAATACTGGTATTGGTGTACCCCAAGTCACATTTCTGAGGCCCATTTTGTCCCTGATTCATATCAAGGGAGTACCTCAGCTTCTTCGGTCGTTTTGTGCTTTGTCTAAGGGTGACTTTATGACTTTGTGGGTAATTCATGCTCTCAGCGACCAGGATGTTCTTCAATAGGAGCGTGACTGCTTGTTCCTGTGGTCTGCAGAGGTTGATCTACCGGTTAGCTCAGTCAAAACTTTAAACATGAGCCTGGGGAAGGGTATTAATGGTCGTAGGTACATTTTAACCTGTCAATCGCTGCATCACACATCTTCCGTGAGGAACCTAGGCATACTCTCTTCCTCCCTCTGTGATTTGAAGTCTGTGAAAACTAGAAAAAACTATACGGAAACTGACTGCGCATGCTTTGGGCGCTCAAACGCAGCTTCTGTACTCGGTCTGAAAAAGTTGGCACTCGCCACTTCCTGACCATCATAAGTGCTGTGCTAGAATACGGTTCACCTGCCTATTGTCGGAACAATCGTGGCGAGGTGCAGAGACTAAAAGGGGTTCAGCATGTAGTTACCAGAGTTATTTCCATTTTACAGTGTCGAACGAAAATCGATGTAGGAGACTAGGACTTACATCCTGCCGTAGTGTCGGGTATTGCATGTGGGTCACTTCTCTATACTGAGGTCGCTACTGCTCGCGCGCGCACCACGCAGCACTCGCGGACACCGGTACAAGCTCGTAATGCGGGATCGGAACGGATAGCTTAATCTCTACGCTACGAGCAACGAGTGGTAAAATATCGGAACAGCTTCCCCGAGATTATAGTGGAAGCAAAACCGGTATTAAAATTCAAACAATTCCTAAATGTTCACTTTGTGTACATAAAGCATAAAGCGCAGCTGCAATATGCTGCAAACGCCCAGGAAGCAGTGATGTGATTCCGCGCACGTACCCAATCGAACTACGATGGATTAACACAGATGTAGCACCAGCAGTATGCCGGTACGCAGTACCGACACTTCGCTGCCGCGCAACCACCATCGGCCGCACGTGGGTTAAGGATAGTGAGAGGATCGCCTGGTCCCTACGCAGACTCGAACCCGAGCCTTCGGGTTACAAAACAAGCTCGTTACCTTTAGGTTACGGACCGGCATCCAGTCCTATTGAAGAATATTTATGATCTTCCAAGTCCGATCCGCTTGTAGAACAAACAGAACTTACGGAGTGTAGTGGTTAATACGCGTATATGCAACTTTCAAACGGGAGAGACAGTATCGCGTTGGCAACTAGCCCACAAAGGCGAAGACCTGCTAGATCATGACGATGGGATTAGCGCCGGTCCATAAGAAACGATCGCACACCGAGATGTTGAACAGGCTAGCTTTCACAAAAAGCCTCCAACAAGTGAATATAAGGCACTTCAAGAACGCGCGCTTTCATATTACTTTAGAAACAAAGGCTAAACATTAGCGCTTTTCTAGTGTTACCCACGAGTTAAAAGTCTCAACTGTTTCTCTAGAGCGCTTTCGTCTCAAAGTAACCCATGTTTGCTACAGGATTCCTTCGGTCCAAAATGGGGTAGAATTTGGTACTATTTCTCTGCAGTTATCGTTGCCACTACGCTTCTCTATACGCAGATGAATAAGACCTGAATTCCAAAGTTTTGATTCCTCTATTGCTGACTTGTCTTCAGTCTTACCGTTATACTACAGATGTCCGAGCCAAAATAACCGCGAAGCAACGGTCCATGCATTCAGTCTAGTGCCTACATATACAAACTTCCTACCTGAAACTCATGGCTTTTTTCATTCCATTATGTTTCGGGTGTTCAGCTATAGTTGACTTCCCTATATCCGTTTTCCTAAAAATACACCCAATATTATCATCAAAATAGTGCGCAACATGGCACTGGATCTATTGCGTTTTAGTGTTGGTAAGCATCAGCAGTACGCCGTAAGGCAGTACCGACGCTTCGCTGCCGCGCAACCATCAATAGTCGCCCGTGAGCTAAGGATAATGCGAGGGTCGTCTGGTCCCTACGAAGGCACGAATCCGTGACTACAGGTTACAAGGCAGGCTTGCGATCCTTAAGGCTACGGGCCGGCTGGTGTTGACATCACAAAAAACACTCAGGGCTGAAAATGAGTGAAGGGCTAGCAGTAACGAGACTGCATGTAGACGTAGGAAGTGTATCAGTAGTAGACCAGTACTTCGCACTGATCTTTTACTGCTATGCAACCGCAGGCAGTCGTGGACATAAATATGGCTTGAACCAATGGCTACCGGGTCAGCCAGTGAGTAGAGTTCAGATGCTTCTAATAAGATGGAATACTTTTCACTAAAATTGAACCATCTAACAAAACACTGCATGCTTTGATGCTTTGCACTCAGGCTTTTTGGTCAACACCTTAGGATGAAAAAACTAAAAGTTCCTCTATCCTGATCAGCACGCGTTATTTTTGTCTTAGGTCAAACAAAGCGTCAGTATGCATCGTGGGTCAGATGGTTTGTATGAAGTCGCCTTATCCGCATCAAACAGCAAGATAGGAGCCAAAATAGGTTGCTATTTATGCCTTTCAAATTTCATCCTCTTGGACAAGGAAGCGGGATTTCGTTTGTAGGTTTATTCGGTGAAGTGTAACGACTGTCTTTTGACAATACATAGTTAACTACTCTGATGAAATGATACGAAGTGTACCCATTCGGAAAACAGGATTGTTAGGTAGTTTCAAAAGTCGTTACGGCCTCAGGTGAACTAGTATAGATCATTATGCACAGAGAAAGTAGTAACCCCCAGATTAAAAGTTCACGTCGGCGTCTATCATGATTCAAAGTACTCACTTGTTCCAAATCCGTAGGTGGAAGGTCACTTCAGTTTTCAATGATGAAGAAAACTGTGAAACTTCTGTATAGTTCCGACGGAGTTTTGGCATGGTAAGACAATGAAGGGGTTTTCCCCATTTTACTGCAGTTATAAAGTCGAAAGCAAGGTGGGAACTTGGTGTTCCCAATGCATTAATGTCCCAGAAGTATTCGGTCGATAGGCTATGTGAATACCCATATGTGCACAAGAAAAAAGCAAGATACGGGCATACAGCTGAGCTGACAACCCAATAAGCCCTTGGTATGTAGGAAGATACACTATTAACGTGTGATCGGTTTGTGTTGGCAAATTCCCCAACACCGACATGTCTGCCAACGCAGTATAAATCCACGGAAAAGGGCATAACCGCTGTAGCAAGCTAGTATAATGCTGGCAAGCGGCACCGAATTTTGAAGCTCGGGTCCTAGTTAAACGCGTTGGATTGAGTATTTACAGCATATCCCATATCTTGGTGATGCCGAGATACAACAAATGGCTATAAAGTGCCAATGGGTGGTTCACATTACATTTCCTAACGAGGGGAGGTGGGACGATTGGCATATTCCATGCTCGCTTTAGATGTGGTGACAAGTAGGATTGAAAGGTTTACGTCGCGCAATGCATCGACCCACAACAATGTCTGTTGTTGCGACCGGAAATATTTCAGTGACGGATTTCATCAAACAAACGTGTGCATGAGAGCAGACTGCCCCAATGGTGTGTCTAGTCGGAGAAAAATCAGTGAGCCAATTTTCTGCTTCCTAGTCCATTCAGCCACTACAACATCGACGTTAGTCCACTGTAAAGTAGGACGTTGCAATACATGAACCAGATTGACCTAGTTAGCCTGCTGAGACAGTAGACATATATGCACAAAGGTTTACCTAGCAAAGAAGACACGGAAACTTTCACAACGAAGGAAGCTAAAACAAATGAAGCGGAGCCCGCTACAACAGAAAAAGCTGTAGATAGGAGCAATAACCGAAAACAATAACGCCAAGAAACTGTACCGGCTGGAAACTCCTTGTATACATGCATCAGGTTCACTGCATCCAAATTGGAGACTTTGACGAACTTATTGACTCCATTAAGTAAAACGTTTTGGTGAATCATTTCGACGGCCCTCTCATCCAAATCGTTACAAACTATTTCTCCGATATTAGGAACTTCCAAAGCGAACCGAACGGATCGTATGCCAGAACCACCTAAAGCTTCTAGAATTCGTAATCCACTGTATTGGGACTGCGAAAGCCGGGAAGGCGAGTTCAAGCGCTTTTCGTTCTTCATTAACCACTCCTTTTTGTGAACCTTTTGAAACCACTGCAAAACGGCGACCGTAAGATCACGATTGAATTCCTGAACGCGATTGTAAAAAACGCCTTCTGGTAGCTTAATGCGCGCACTTCCTTCTGCAATTACATTCGCAACCGCATCAGTCATTGCAGCCACTGTGGAACTGTAGTATGCGTGCAGTCGTGGATTCCGAGGGCTTCCGTGTCCAGCGTGTAAGTAGGTTGTAATAGACCAGCGGAACTGCAATGGAAAGCAAATACCTCGTAGGTGGCTGAATGCTCATATCACAAACACCTAGTAAGAGACCACAGTAGATCGAACACGAAGGTAAAGAGGAAGAAAAAACGGCCGTCTAGCAGAGGTGCGATGATCTCCTTACCTCAGGGATCATTGCAAGGTCATGCTCGGTCTTGCTAGAAAGGCGCTGTCATCAGCTCCTACAGTACTACTAGTTGACCCTCGATCTGATGATGTGAAAAACTGATGAATGCAGTGTGCTCAGTTTGAGAGATTCCGCGACAAGCAGTGGGGTCACAGAAAGGTCAATAATAGCCACATAGGCAACGATCCAGCTTTAGGGACTGCTGTCAAGAGCAGGAAGGATCGCCGAATATGTAATATGCGTCTGGTTGACGATCTGCTGATGTGCGAAACAAGCGGTAAACGCGGTGTGCTAGATTCGACAGATTCCCCGGCAAGCAGTATGGCCAGAAGGAAAATTAATGATCGCCTCTAAGGGCAACGATGCAGATTCCAGAGACTACTGTCGGGAGTAGGGGCGCTGAAACGTAGCTTCTGCACCTGGTCGAAAGAGATTGCCACTCGTCTCTTCACATCCATTGTACGACCGGTGCTAGAATACGGCTCACCTGCCTACTGTCCGTTGACGAAAGGCGAGATACACAAGCTCGAAAGAGTACAACACAGCCACACGGCTCATTCCCAGTCTTCAGGGTGTGCCGTATGAAGAAAGATGCAGACAATTGGGTCTGCATACTCTAGCCTACCGCCGCGTGCGAGTGGACCTCATCATGACCCATCGGGTATTGCATCTGGGTGCTTATCCGATGCTGAGGCCACTGCTCCATGTCCGTGCGTCAAGCAGCACACGAGGTCACCAGTACAAACTGGTAGTCCCTGACCTCAAATGGGTAGCTCATCCCTTGTGTCTTGAGCGGCGAGTGGTGAACATGTGGAACCGTTTGCCCTCGCGGATAGTAGAAGCGAACTCGGTGTCTGAATTCAAACGATTCCTGGACGCGCACTTTGCGGATGCCAGGTTCGACGAAGCCTTCACAGGAAACTGACGAAGGAATCGTTCAATGATTATAACCCATGGAGCCCGTTAATCCACCAACTGCAGCTTCCGAAACGATGCCCATGCGTAATTGGCGGCGGAGATGGTGAAGGACTCCATGTGGTTCATCCAAGAATATATCGTAAGTACATGGAGATTTTTTCTATGCTTGTAAATATTTTACTTTTTTTCACCTGGGCTATCTCACTACTACAGGTAACACTATGTCAGTGGGACATGTCCTACATTGAGATATAGCTGGGCGCTATCTGTCGTGAGTAGGCAAGGACGCTAAATGTGTAACATCCCTCTGGTTTACGATCAGGTGTTCAAAAACAAATGAGGGGCAAGGTATAGAAGTTTCGAGAGATTCCACGACAAGCAGTATGGTCAGAAAAAGGTTAATGGTAGCCTCAAAGTCTAGCGTTGCTAGACAAACATTCGCTGAGAATGCTGGAATCTTGCGGCTGCCAGTGCAATTGCGACGGAGCCTCGAAGAACGTCTTAATGCAACGACACGCATCAAACCCAGGATAATACGTAATCGAGTGGGCTGACAAGGGATTTCCCTCCAGTTCTCTACAACTCAATGAACTCAGTGAAGGACCCAGCTTCAAGGACTGCTGTCGGGAACTGGGAAGGTTGCTGAATATGCATTATGCGTGCGGTTGTAAATTCCAAGAGCTTCCGTGTCCAGCGTGTACGCGTGTCGTAATAAACCAGCAAAGATGCAATGGAAAGCAGACACCTCGTGGGTGGCTGCATGCTCATATCAAAACCACCTAGTAAGAGAGTAAATCAAACGAGGCAAAGATAAGAGTATCAACGGGCGTCTGAGATACAACGTTCTCCTTACCTTAGAAAACACCGCAAGGTCACGCTCGGTCCTGCTAAAGTAACAAGGGGAAACCGTTAATAATGTTGGGCCAGGAGCAGCAGCGCGGAAAGCGGGACCCACGCGCAACCGAACCTCCGGAAAAGCAACATAGAGGGTAGCCAAACTCACATATTGGCGGGAAGCAATCTTGCGGCAGACATGCGGCGGTACAACTTCACACGATAGATTTCTGTAACAGCAATGATTAATTTGTGTAAGCTAACTAAATAGCAAAACGTTTTCATAAATATAAATTAAAACCATCAAGCACGAACGTTACACTGCGTATAAAATATGGATAGGTGAGTTAGATAACTAGCCAACTTTAAAAACCATAAATAAATGAATAGACTAGAAAAAGCAATCATATTGTGCAATTATTTGAATTCTTTCTGATATTTTACATCAATGGTTGGCCAAATTTTGCTGGGCGTACCCATGTAGCGACCTGGAGATTCCCCCGAATGACTGTGTAAACTATTCTACAATATTCAAATTATAGATTTCTTAAGTATTAGGGAACTATTCGGTTTGCCTGTTGGAATGCTGTTCCCGTTTGTTGGAAAACACGAAAGCGATCTCCGCATTTGGCGCGCGGCTCGACTGCGAACGACGCTCCGTCTACGCTCTCGACGTCAACGACATTCTCCCTAGCTAGCTCTCTCCGGGTGGCCTATTTTTAGCTTTAGCTAACGCTCCTCCAGTCCAATAAACTTCTTCCCTATTTTACTTTTGTGTCTTCTACCCACTGCTTTTGCTTGGCTGTCTAGCCGCGTACCGGATGTATAGCGCACGATCAACGCGCTATACCCAGCCCAAACATTTTACATTTATCCGCTCAGGGAAATGTGTAGACCTCCATCCCACCCTATCGGAGCTTTGCATGTAAATGGAACAAATGCTGCAGTCTTCTTTTATCCGTAGGCTGCAAACGATTAGAGTCTGTTGTTTTGAAATGGCAAGCAAAACTTGTAACAGTTTGGACTTGCACGTTTGCCGTATCCCCATCGAGGCTTGTGGCCTGTAATCAGAATGCAGAACAGCTCATAGCGTAACACTACATTGTCTGATATAGCTAATGAAACAAAAAGTTCAGAAAGAGCAGATACCATTAGCATGCAACCCTGGAGCTTTGGGGTACAAGTAGAAAATTTTGTTGCATCAGATGATAAGCGGTCGGAAGTTGATTGGGGCGAGTTTGGGTTATAAGATGCAGCAGAGTAAAATGTGGTAACTGCAAATAGCGCGATGCAGTCCCGCATAATAATGGTCTAGGCGAGTCTTGAATTTTTTCCTAGTAGTTGCCGTAGCAATCCGGTTGGCATGGCGGTCCACGGTCCGCAGACTCGCTGAGCGAAAAGTGTCGCCTGCAATCCCGCCTGGCTGCGCTGACGTGGGACATGAAGTGGATGCTCAGGAAGATGAATGCATAAGTTGTGCAGTTTACGCGATCCGCCTCAGGCGTGCTTAGGGTTACCTAGGGTTCTAATGACAAGGAGCAGAAGGCCCTTTATACGTATGTATATTATCAAGAATAGCCGAAGACGATGAACCGTTCTGGATAATCTAACTTGCGATGCACATAAGCGTCCCGTTTTAGTTAAACAAGAAAATATACTGGCAGGTAGATGGAGTAGCAATGGGATCGCCTCACGTACCACTATTGGCAGTTGTTTACATAAGGGTTGCTAGAAAAGGAATAGCAGATACCGGTCATTGCAAACTTCAAGTCCCATCGGCGTTACGTAGTCGACATTTTCCGCATAGTGGATCAGACGACCAACTTGCAAACGTCGTCGAACATTTCAACGGTGCACATCCTGCTTCTTCATGTACGGCTGAAAAGAAAAGCAAAACCAGCTGAACTTTTTGGATATAAATCTACAAATCAGAGCGGGCAGGTCAAGCTGGTGAGGACATTACAAATAGCCATATCAGCCGAGGCAGTATATACATTTCCAAATATTTGCTCTCCACCTGCAAAAGGATGCTTGTCCATATGTTGACGGCCCGCGCGCACAATAGCTGTAGCGAAGATTCGATTGAAGCCGAACTGGTACGAAGCATGTGCATTATACTTTAGCACGGCGATCCAAAATGCTTTATTCACATCCATTTGAAGTTTATAGCCCGGAAGCCAATAGTGCAAACAGCTGAGAAAAATGTAGTTGTCCCTCGTGGTTCCCTTTCAGGGTGGCAAAGCGACTTAGCTCTGCTCTCGAAGATTGACGCACGTCTGCAGGAGTACCAGGGCAGCCGCAGTCAATGTGATCTGTACACGCTAATAGTTATTTGTCCCTTGGTTCAGACAAAGTGCCTGCTTGTAACCAGGCAAATGTAACATACCGATTCACCTGCTGCTGTTGAGCTAGGTATACTGAATACACCACTAGGCACTTAGGAAATCGAATCAAGGAGCTCCTACCGCATTGGCTCACCAACCGCAGCTAGAGGTCTAAGTTCAATTCTTAATCATCCCGTTGTCACCGGGCACAAACTGATGAAAGTAGTTACTTTGATCTACAGTTTAATCACCGGCAAACTTGACCAATCTGATATCAGCTTGACTGCTTGCTACTGCTGAAGCAGTAAGCATAAACCCGCTGGGGCAAAAGCTCTGCATCCAGTGGAAGCACAGTAAAGCATGGTAACATTCATGGTCATCAAACACAGGAGAGGAATTTGTTGCCGCCCATTAATCCCGCGTGTCGCCAACCACCTGATCATCTGACGCTTATCACCAGAACTGTTTAAGTTTTATTTTACTTAATCAATGGTGTGTCATTATGCTGTCCCACAACCCTGCTTGTTAATAGGTAAATTTCTATACTAGGCCTTATGAGAAGGAAATGGAAAATAATTCTTCGCCCTAAGTGTTCTGCTTACGTTTCTTTTTGGGTTTGTTAATCAAAGTGTCTGAGACATAGTATTACTTTGTTCACCTGACCGTGGGCCTTCCATCGTTTGCCGGTCTTTGCGAAACCAGGGGCTGTAAGCCAGGATAAGCAAACAAACCTGAGTGTGAAGCAAGGTATTTAGGGCGAGGCGGAAACTCAACAGGTAAAGTGTAATGAAAGCAAGTTTAAGTATTCGTAATATGAAGTTAGCAAGACAGCCTGCGTTCGGCTGGAAGCAGATGTAGGAAGTGTGCTTCTACTTATGATACTAAAGGTCTGTCGGCTAACGTGACCTGGGGAATAGGCGCCCTCGCGAATTATATTGGATGGCTGGTGCCATACGTGTGGAGTACGCGACATTCCGGATTCCGCATTGGTAAAAGCAACAGCCTCATACTACTTTCCTCCGTTTGATACACTAGCTGTATGCTTTGTACACCCTACGGCAATTTAACTTTCCGGGCTCTGAGTGCGGGCTACCTCTCGGCTTCCCAACCAAGGTTTTGGCCCACATTAACGTCTGCCTCACGCATACGCATTCTTGCCAATTATATTCCCTTTATGGAACCATTCTACCACTACTTCTTGACTACACCGTACACTATATTTTTCACTTCCCCCGTCCATCGAACCAAGGCTTTCCTTAGGCCACCAGCACCAGCTTCTAACCACTTGGTCCTCTAATGTTTTTTTCGCTCCTATGCTTAACCCTACTCTACTGTATATTGTAGCTGAGCTTTCCTCTGGACAAAATCGCAACTGTTCAACTATTACCAAGGTACCCTAGCGCCAGCGCAACCACGCAGTCCTCGTTAGATTCTGTTCACCACTGCGTCGCTTCTTCTTGATCCTTTTGGACCAGTCCGGCCTCTGAAGCTCTAAGCGCCCATAGGTCCCAACCAATGCCTCGAAGAACCACCTAGCATGTGCCCTACTTCCATTTCATCTTAACAGACTTCCATTACGACTATGATGACGCATCACTCGTACCCATTCGACTTGGGAAGATTTTTAGCCCTTCGCCTCATGCCCGATGACATTTGGGCCTTACATTCCTACCAACATCTCCTTTCGGATTCCGATTGTCATCCTCCGCTGTTTCTCAGCTCCATCTGTTTCAATCTAATATGTAGGCTAAGCTTTAGATGGCCTCCTAGCTCATACCTAATCCCCATTCCAAATTAACATTCTTCCAGTTGGCTCGTGATGCCGCATCGCTCACAACCATCCGACTTGCCAGGCTTTTCCTTTCTCCTCTTCATGCTTGAGGTCCCATCGGTCTTGCATTCTAAATGTCATGCACTTCCGGGTGCGGACAGTTTACGCTTCCTGCTCCCTATCTGCAACACCATACACAAGTATACCTGCTCAGTCTGGAGAACCATCTAGTCTGTGAACCATTAAATATCATCGTAACACGCTTCCAGTTGAATTGCAACGCCGCAAAACTCACAACCGTCCCACCAAATCAACGTTTCGATCTCTCACATTATGCCTGAGGTCACTTTGGCCTTACATTCTTATTAGTATCTACCTTCCGTATTCTAAATGCCATCATCTGCTGCTTCCAAGGCTCCGTCTGCTCCACGCTAGTAGGACTGCTACGCCTTGAAGAACTGCCGAGGCCGTGCCCCAGTCCCATTTCATTTTAAAGGCCTTCACTTGGATTGTGATGCCACATATCTCTCCACCATTAGAATTCCCAACCGCTTCCTTACTTCACCTTATGCTTGATGCATCTGCCGCCCTACCATTTCTACTAGTAACAACTTCCAGCTTACCGTTTATCGATGCCTGCCGCTTACTAGCTCAGTCTGTTCAACCTTGTATGACTGAGAGTCATCGAAGGAACCACCTACACTATGCCCCCTCCACTTTCCAGGCTTAACAGGCCCATGCTTGCCATTGGTGGTTGCCTGCATAACTCATAAAAACATCCGACAGCATTGAACGCTTAATATTTTGCCCCTCACGCTGGCTGCTAAAATCGACCTTATATTCTCGTCAATATCTCATTCTAAGCAGGCGAAAATGTCTCCATCCGCTGCTTCTCACACCTATATACCTGCTGTTTAATTCTAAATCAATGATACGCCCCGAAGTGCATCCAAGT